GACTTCGTGGGCTTGAGAAAGGTTTCCAACAGAAAGAGAGTATCGACATTTTTGCTTGTGTTTAATAGGAAGCTAATTTGTTCCAGTTTAGAGTCAGTAAGACGTTCAACATTCCAATGACCGATTCTGAAACCTTTACTTGGCAACTTGAGTTGTGTTATTTCCTCAGCGGCATTACCCGGATTCAACTCTACATCACCAGCAAGCAGAAGCTTGAAAGATACAAACATAGGGGTGGTGAAGGTCGCATCATCATTTACTGTATATCTCACAGTAGATTTTGAAAACTTTTTCACCTCATTGCCATACACAATTTGGTATATACACATCGCTTCACTCCATTACACTGATAAGTTTTTACATCCTCATTTATTCCACCAACAGAGGCTCGAATTAACAGCAAGTACAAAAACACGTAAGAACACATCAGAACAACAACATGAGCTGCCTCAGGAGCAGACATTAAATGGATGTTTGATTCTTGCATTACTACGTATTCTACATGATTTATGGAATCCAAAAACTGATCCCCTGGAATCCTATGTTCAATGTAATTTCAGTTTACCGCCCGATGCACCTATTATGTCAAAGGGACAAAGGAAACATTCAAATCTCTCGATACGGATCACAAGAAAGCGTATCAGAAACAATTAGAAACTAAACTACAAAAACAACTCAGTAAACTGTAAAATCTTTGTTCTCAAAAAACATTAATAGTAGTTTTACAAAAATCTCTGTTAAAATTTTTTTACAACTTTATAAATTAATAAATGTTTCTTATAACATCAATACATAACTTTTTTACTAAATGCGTCTTATGCACAATGTTCCTCTCTCCAATACATTAGGTAGTTCAAAATGGGTTGATAATCAGAAAAACCTCTCAAATTCCCCAAAAAATCAAGTGTTACTTCACAAGCATTCGTCAAGTTCACATAATGTTCCTTTGCACGCCCATAATATTCCAATTTCATCACTCGAATAACTTCAAGAAACTGTTTCCTCAAAATTCCACGCTCAATCACGTGCTCCACTGCCTCCAAACCATGCGATAACCATCCCTCCTCGTCTGACAACATAATACACTCATGTCTCCACTGACTCGGATGGTTGATTTCGCAGCTGGGACATTTCTCCTTCAATAATCTTCGATTTTCACAAACAGCCACTTCTAAAAACACTGCATTCATCAAATCACAAACATTCTTCACTTCATAAGATACTTCATCCACAACCAAGTCTTTTGGCACCTTCAGAGGAATAACTCATTGCAGCAAACGTATCACATAAACTTTCCATTGAAAAGTAAATATAAAACTCCCGTTTTTTATACACTTTGCTGACGCCATCTCTGTATTATTCCAAAAGATCACGCAACAAATGTTCATGCAACAAATGTTCCAAAAATGACATCACACTTATCCCTAAAATGCTGACGTCACTTCCACCACCAAATGGGCGCTATCATCTACTGTGTAGACCAGGTTATTTTTGAGGGACCTTCATCTAGAACTGGTACACCTTCATTAGGGATAAACTCCTGTTCCTCTTCACTTTCACCAATGTCAATGGTAATGGGTTTCTGGGAAACGTCACTGTCACTGGTGTCTATGGTGATGGGTTCGCATTCTAAGTTATGCTGGCGAAGGTACTCTCTCTTTACGTCAGGCGCATTCAGTTGTCGGTGAAACAGATGGTATCCAACTTTTTCATGGATATTACACTCTTCATTGGTCTGATATAAATAAAGGTGCTTGAACCAATCAGTTCCTTCAAATATGGGATGTTGTATTCTGTAGATGGCATTGGGATTATACAGGGTGGTCTGGAGTTGCCTAATGATAATAATAATCTTTAATAAGGGATGCCTCAATCACCTTATGGTGTTTTCATCAGGGTCCTTAAACAATCACATGTTATGATACTACAACCATTACAAAAGTTATTAATTTAAGTTATAAATTAGATTTGATTGTGAAAACTAATATCATAGAATACGGTTCTTATAAGGCCCAAAAAAATACCTGTGGTTCCAGTTTCATATTGTCGGTCGGGAATATATTTTCATGGTTTTGGTGGGGTTTTTTTGCTGGGCGATTTTCAGTAGAGTCCCAACATCAATATTAATTTAATTTTAAATATTAATCAATATTAATTAATTATTATATAATATGTGTATTTCCTATAGACAAATTTAATTCAATAATTAGTGTGACAACAGACACCATTTTGGCACACTGTATGAGCAGCCCACAACCACCCAGAGAAAATAAGGTCTAGTGGTCAATGACATTGAAAAAATAATAGGGTCAGCAGAAAAAAATAGGGTCAGTCGGGAACTGGAACCCTAAGTATCTTTTTAGTCCTAACTACTGTGCAACTACTATCTTGTACCCCGCAACTGTTTCGCTTGTGCTTTACAAACATTCTTCTATTTCTTGTCTTATAATTATGCAAGTTTTCATTTAAGTTGATTTGAAATAAATTATCAATGTAATGGTTTATGCAATTATATATAAACATGCAACAGTGTTGTTGTCTTCAATTTTCTAATGTCTTGCAATTAAGACATTCAAGAACTTCTGTGGATAAGAAAAGCATGCCTGAGTGAACTTAAGAATTTCCTTTGCTGGTTTATTAAGTAGATCCAGGGCCAGTACTAGACCTCTTTGAATGGGGGTGTGTAACTGAAATTTGCTGAGTTATTATTCTCAAAATAGTTGTTGTTGTTGTTTTCACTCAAATATTTTTTCCTATCGAAACCCTCGTATTTTGCCTGGCTACTACAAAACTAATTTGCTGACTTGGATTCAATATTTTCACAACTAACTGATGACTGGGGGGTGTTCAACCCCTTTAGCACCACCCATGTGTAGAACTTGCATTACCTCCACTCTCAGCTCTCATGAAATCAAATGCACCATCCTGACTGTTCAGCTTGGGATATTCTGTTTTCAAGGAAAAATATGGAGACTTTAACCTCTTGAGCAGCAGCACTCTCCTTATGATGAATAAAATCAGGAGCCATGGGGGGGGGGGGGGGGGACAA